GGTCAGTTGGGAGATTAATGGTCACGTGGGTGATTGTAACACTCGAGTGTTCCTTGAGTGTACACACAATACAAACCAGATCAACAGTTCACATCTCACCCCCCCCCCCCCGTGCATCTTGAGAGATGCACAACTGTCTTATATCCTCCATCACTAACAGCTACATGCTGAAGACGTACCTCCTAAGACCAGCCTTGTAGGCTACCCTTGTGTGTAACTTAAGGGAGACTTACTTAACTTAAGGGAGACAAGTGTATCTGTACAGACAGCATTCAATGTAAGCTTTAGTTGTATATGTAAATAAATAAAAATTATTTGTGCCTCCCCTTGTTGAGCTCTTTGATGAGTGGGTGTGCAGGGCAGAAAAGTCCTATTCCACTTTCTATTATGTAGTCTACTTTTCAACGCATCTCTCCTCAGACTCGTGAAATGGGTGACCAGGCCCCCAAGTCGGACAGTGATGGAAGAGTGGGCTCCATGGCTCCGGCTATGGTGGCCCAAGATCAGGCTCGGTCTTTGGCAATCTCTTCTGATCTTCTCCCTTCTCTAGCCTCTTCCTTGGCAGGAAGAACGGTGACTATTGCACCACCTGGTTTATTCAATCTTTGATGGCTAAAGAAACCTTTGATAATCAGACTCTCCCATCTTTGGTAATTCTTGCTGATGCCAGATGCTCTGTTCAGGAATACATCCTATCTCCATGCCTCTGCAATAAGTGCTGATTTCTATCCTTCCTGATCTTTCTTAGTTATGTACCCTTTTCTTACCTAGTATTTTTAAAGTCTATTCTCTTCCCAATCTTTAAAACTTTTAGACTCATTGCCATGGCCTGTGATCTATTCAGGTAATTTTTAACTTTCGACATGCACTCTGGGGCGATGTTCTTACATATACCCGAGGCCATCTATTAGAACTTTTCGTCCTCTCTTCTTTGTTTCACCTGAATTCCAGCAAGCTGACTCATGTCGACTCCTACACTCACACTACCTCCCGAATAGACCTTTCTCTCTGCCCCTCTTCCATTTATATTGACCTTACATGGAGAGTCCTTGATGACCCTGATAACATTGACCATTTCCCCATTCTCATTTCTCTCTATTTCCGCCATCTTCTCTCTTCCCCTCGGTGGCAGTTTTGTAAGATGAACTGAAATCCTTTCACTCTCCATACTACACTTCCCTGCCCATCCGATGTCTATCTCCCTCATTCATTTTCGTGACATCTTAATAGATGCTGCTCTCCACTCTGTTCCTCACTATGCCTCCTGCAGTATACAGACGTGTGTTCCTTGGTGGAACTTGGATTGTGCTCGGGCTTTATGCTTTAAGTATGCAGCTTGGAAAAGGCACTATAACTGGAATATCCATGAATTTGTACAGTTAGACGTGAGAGTTGAGATCTTACATCAACGCCATTACTGTTCACACCTCTCTCCCTCACATCTGGAAGACTCCAAAAGATTGCAGGTAAATTTGTTCCAGACATGTCGCCTGTTCTTCATCTCTGTGACTCCATTGTGATAGACCCGGTACTGGTTACGAACTAACTGGTTTCGGACAGTAATTAGCCGCTGTACTCATCTTCCTCCTACTTTCTTTACTCATAATCCCCTTCTTGAATCTTATCTCTTGGACTTTTGCATTCACCTCTGCCTTCCCTATAATGATATTTTCCCACTTTCTGAATTACAGTCCCCCTTGTCCTTCTGCAGTTCTACAGTGAAAGGCTCAGACGGTCTTCACTATCAGATGATACATTATCTCCCTCTATAATTCTTGCAGTATTTGCTGCATATCAATAATCACATTTGGTGATAGATACCTTTGGTTAGGTATCTTTGATATCACATGCCTTATGTTCTATTGTTCTCGTATTGGCATCGTCTGTGATATTTAGTGCCTTTGGAATATCCAGCAACACAGACGGTGGTATATTGTCTTCCCGGCTTGGTGCATTGTGATAATTATTTAACAATTTCCTTATCTGGTTTAAACAAAGAAATACTTAAGTAAATGTATCAGTTTTTTTGTACTTAATCAGGAAAAAATATAACTTTGATTTGCATTTCATTTAGATATTTTATTTGCTTAGTTGAAAAAAAATATTAAAACAATGAAACATAGAATGCCGTACATGAAACACGTACTGGTCCACAGGGCAGAGCTGCAGAATTACTTCAAGTTGCACACAAACAACATCCGTACAGGACATGTGGTGCACTTCAGTAAGCACCCGTGTGTGGAGCTGCCCATACCCCGGCACCAGGTGAGTGCCAATGTCAGCTGCCCATACCCCGGCACCAGGTGAGTGCCAAGTACTGTGCCAATGTCAGCTGCCCATACCCCGGCACCAGGTGAGTGCCAATGTCAGCTGCCCATACCCCGGCACCAGGTGAGTGCCAATGTCAGCTGCCCATACCCCGGCACCAGGTGAGTGCCAATGTCAGCTGCCCATACCCCGGCACCAGGTGAGTGCCAATGTCAGCTGCCCATACCCCGGCACCAGGTGAGTGCCAAGTACTGTGCCAATGTCAGCTGCCCATACCCCGGCACCAGGTGAGTGCCAATGTCAGCTGCCCATACCCCGGAACCAGGTGAGTGCCAAGTACTGTGTCAATGTCAGCTGCCCATACCCCGGCACCAGGTGAGTGCCAATGTCAGCTGCCCATACCCCGGCACCAGGTGAGTGCCAATGTCAGCTGCCCATACCCCGGCACCAGGTGAGTGCCAGTGTCAGCTGCCCATACCCCGGCACCAGGTGAGTGCCAATGTCAGCTGCACATACCCCGGCACCAGGTGAGTGCCAATGTCAGCTGCCCATACCCCGGCACCAGGTGAGTGCCAATGTCAGCTGCCCATACCCCGGCACCAGGTGAGTGCCAATGTCAGCTGCCCATACCCCGGCACCAGGTGAGTGCCAATGTCAGATGCCCATACCCCAGCATAAGGTGAGTGCCAATGTCAGCTGCCCATACCCCGCCACCAGGTGAGTGCCAATGTTAGCTGCCCATACCCCGGCACCAGGTGAGTGTCAATGTTAGCTGCCCATACCCCGGCACCAGGTGAGTGCCAATGTCAGCTGCCCATACCCCTGCACCAGGTGAGTGTCAATGTCAGCTGGCTGACATTGCTCACACCGCAGGCTCTCCGAATTGCTGTGGCTCTCCGACTCGCTGCCCCAATCCACTCCGAATACAGGTGTATTTGCAGCGAGGCAGTGGCTGACAGGTACGGACAGCATGGCCTTCTCTGCCAAAGGACAGGAGGATGGCATGCAAGACATGGCGAGGTTACTGACATTAAGAGAAGCCTTACTACGGCCGGTTGTCCAGCAGAGAGAGAGCCCTGTTACCTAATGTCCCGCAACTCTGATGAGCCTGTCGGTCGCCCAGACGGAATCACGGTGAACCCCTGGAAGAATGGTAGACAGTTGGTGTGGGACTACACTTGCGTTTCAACTTTAGCCAATACCTATGTTGACTTCAGTGCTACACAAGCAAGAGGAGCTGCCAATCACCGGGAAGCGGCCAAGTCACATAAATACAGAGACCTTGAGCACCACTACAATTTTGTCCCCATTGCCTCAGAGACACTTGGTGCCTGGTGTAAAAGTGCTGCTAGCTTTTTGAAGGAGTTGGGGTCTAAGTTAATCGAAACAACTAGAGACCCCTAGAGCTGCCAGTTTTCTTTTTCAGCGCCTTAGTGTGGCAATCCAGAGAGGAAATGCTCACTGCATCCATGGTTCCTGCCCGCCATCTGAGGAGCGGGAGGAGCTATATAACTTGTGACAAGTAGCCTTCTACCCTGTATGTAATCAATATTGTAACTTTTTTTGTGTAATGACATTTACAAATAAAGTTAAATAAATATACACACATACCAAGAGAATAGGGGTGGTAAGAGAAGAAAATATCAGAGTTCAGTGAGGATCCACAAGGTCTTCTCTGAGTACTCTTAATTTTCTTCTCCGAGGTTATGGGTCCCTACACTTGCACCAGAGGTGGTACCCCCTTCTCTCTCTCTCTCTCTCTCTCTCTCTCTCTCTCTCTCTCTCTCTCTCTCTCTCTCTCTCTCTCTCTCTCTCTCTCTCTATATATATATATATATATATATATATATATATATATATATATATATATATATATATATATATATATATATATATATATAGAGATATAGAGAGAGAGAGAGAGAGAGAGAGAGAGAGAGAGAGAGAGAGAGAGAGAGAGAGAGAGAGAGAGAGAGAGAGAGAGAGAGAGAGAGAGAGAGCTGTGGAGCCGTCAGCAGAAGCGGTGACAGGGGGTGTAGGCGAGGTACCAGGTGGCGGGAAGTGGTGGCGAGGGGCGGCAGCAGCACGGGAACAAGAAAGTCCAGCACACGTCATCACTGCCCCCAGACTCCATGCACCTTAAAGCACCGCGCGACTCTCTCAGCCCACCAGCAAACCCATTTCGTCAACCTTAAATAACAACTACACAGAAACGTTCATAAAATACAATTTCTCACCCGACATCAGAAACAACATGACTAAAATAGCACAATAATCTACGTGGCAGGTTAGCATTAAGGGATAACTGTAGAATAATTGGCCAAGTTTCCTGGAGGGGCCCTGCAGTGGGCGAGGAACCTCTCACTGAGCAAGTCACAGTGCTGATGGTGAACTGATTGTCTGGGAATATCACAAGACTTTGTGTACTTATATCACCGACGTCGTGCCTCAATTGGGACAGATTTGTGTGTTTAAGCAATTAGAAAGGCAATTAACAACAGTAAATATACTACCATAGTTGTTGGGGAATAATCAGCTACTATATTTTGCATCCAAGTGCTTGCTCTGCTTCACCCCCCCCCCCCCCTCACCAAGTGCTTGGCTACAACCTCCACCTAGAGCCTACTAGCAGCGCTGCTACACACATAACTCCAACGTTATCAACTACATCTACCCTCACCAGGCAGTTTTCAACCACCAACCAGCAGAGGAGCCACAACAATGGTCATTAACACCAAACAGCGAGTGATGACCATTGTACTCGTCTGTATGGTGTACCTTGTAATCTTTCTCACTGTGAATTATTCCCAAGGCAGCATAAGGTCACTCCTGAAGGTCGGCAACAGAGAAAGTGTTTCAGTAATAAAGCCAAATAACGTTACTAATGACATGCTGCCGATCCACCACGAGTATGTCTCCACAGTAAACAATGAGGCAGCAAGGAACATCAATTTGGAGAAGTATGCTGTTAAAAACATTGATGACAACATAGAGATCACAAACTACAGTAACACTGATATGCAGCATAACTATAGTGCTACAGTGAAGGAGGTTAATGGTATTATATTTTCCAATCACACCAACATGAATCCAGATCTAGTTATAGTTTTATCTTCGAACGATCATGAAACTCCAGCAGTTGTTTATAATAATAATAATAATAATAATAATAATAATAATAATAATAATAATAAGAAGAAGAAGAAGAAGAAGAAGAAGAATAAGACTCTACAAGTTTCTCTTACAAGACTACAAGAGGCTGCGACAAGTACTGTCACCGAGGAACAACAAACAACAGAGGTTCCCGGGGATCAAGTATCGGGCCCAGGTGCCTCTCACGAAGATGAAGAAACAGATGCAGCTTCCGTGGTCCCAGCAGTAACCCCAGACGACCATCTGGTCCTGGATATCACTGTCAACATGACAGGTGTTGCTCTGACTGTGGACGGTCGCCAGGTGAGGCTCATTCACTGTTCTGTCTGTATGTGTATTAGAATTGTCTTTCAGTTTATTATTAAAGAAGTATCAATCTGATCATCTAGGTTTTCAATGTTATGGGGTAGTCCGCCTGGACCATGAGTGAGGGTAATCTGTCTGTCCACAAGAGTGGGTTCCTTATATCACATTAACAGTACCACACAATGTGTGCCCCAAAGAATGAGGTGATTTGATAAATTAGGCGTGAACAACTAAGATTTTTTGTGTGTTTAAACTTCGTCGATAATAATGAGCTTAGTCAGAATATCGGAAATCATTACATGAAACTTTTTCAGCATCTTACTACTGAAGATTACATTAAAATGCGATTATTCATCAATTTACCTTACGTGAAGATGATACGAAGTAATAGAAATCCAATATCTTTGTATATTGGATTTCAATTCATAAGCAATTCACATAAAAAAACAGCGACACAAAATAGTTGATGTTGCACCTTATGTTACTCTCAACTGTTTGGGAACTCTAATGGTCTAAATAAGAATGGCGAGTAGATTATGTTATAAAGCCCCCCCCCCCCCCACCTTCTCGAGTGTGCTCCTTAGAGGTGGTGAGAGGGCTCTTGTGCACCACCCCCGGGTAGGTGGAGGTGGTTCCTGCTCCCATATCCTGCCTGCTGTGATGTGCACAAGGAAATACACCCCACATGTTTGCCTTGTGTTTAGACCTATGTATTCCCTCATTGTTCCTTCATCTGGTTGTTGAATCTACCTTGTGGCTGTTGTCCCTGAGACAACCCATTACTCTGGTGGGAGGATAGGGGTTAAATGGAAGGGTCAGTGTGGCCTGACCCAACGGAAGTGGCTGGTCTAGTTTGCTTCCCTTGTTAGACATAGGATCTAGTGGGGGGCTTACGGGATTGGTATCCCTATTGGTCACTGGGTCAGTGACAATAGGGATAAAGAATTCAGACCTTCCAATGGTGACAGATGTATACTGTCCTTATTACATCATAAATTGCCCATGTGCTTGTGCCTCACCTTGTTCGGTTCAATGGTAGTTGGGGGAGGGGGTGCAGGGCAGAAAGTCCAATTCTCCGTTTTTGTTGTCTCATGCAACAACAGGATCGACCAACCACTTGAATTGAACAGTCTTCCTTCATGTAGGTCGGCGTTCAATCATCGACCGTCCAAGTGGTTGGGCACCCATTCCTTCTCTCACCCCATCCATATTCCATCCCAAATCCTTATCCTGACCCCTTCCAAGTGCTATATAGTCGTAATGCATTGGTGCTTTCTCCTTATAGTTCACTTCCCTTCTTTTTGGATACATGCCTTCTCCAAGTTATTTGAACCACTTCCCCGCCGGCACTCGGATGGTAATCTTGGGCATAGCATTTTATCAAATCACCTCATTCTTTGTGGCACACGTGAGGAACACAAATGCGAACAACCCTGAATGGTCCCCAGGACTATATGCAACTGAAAACTCACACCCCAGAAGTGACTCAAACCCATACTGCCATGAGCAACACAACTGGTATCTACAGGACGCCTTAATGTCGCATGTAGTCCTGGGGACCATTCAGGCTTCTTTGCATTTGTGTTCCTCACGTGTGCCCCAAAGAATGAGGTGATTTGATAAAATGCTATGCCCAAGATTACCATCCGAGTGCCGGCGGGGAAGTGGTTCAAATAGCTTCGGCAATCACTTCCTTATGTCTGGTCGAGATGGTCAAGCGGATTAAGGCGTCCTGTAGATACCAGTTGCGTTGCTCCTGGCAGTATGGGTTTGAGGCACTTCTGGGGTGTGAGTTTTCAGTCGCATATAGTTCTGGGGACCATTCAAGCTTGTTCGCATTTGTGTTCCTCACGTGTCCCCAAAAGAATGAGGTGATTTGATAAAATGCTATGCCCAAGATTACCATCCGAGTGCCAGCGGGGAAGTGGTTCAAATAGCTTTGGCTATCACTTCCTTATGTCCGGTCGTGATGGTCAAGCGGATTAAGGCATCCTGTAGATACCAGTTGCGTTGCTCCTGGCAGTATGGGTTCGAATCACTTCTGGGGTGTGAGTTTTCAGTCGCATATAGTCCTGGGGACCATTCAGGCTTGTTTGCATATATATATATATATATATATATATATATATATATATATATATATATATATATATATATATATATATATATATTTATATATATATATTTATATATATATATATATATATATATATATATATATATATATATATATATATATATATATATATATTAGTATATTTTGGTAGCAGTCTTTCCTGTAGACATATATTATTAAATATGACCGAAAAAGTAAGATTAATAATTCTAACACGAATTTTCTCAATCTTTCGCACATTTCTTTTCACTGTTGGAGGTAATTCAAAAATCAACTCTCCAAAATTAATTTTTATTTCTAGTCTGACGCGACACTTGAGCGAGTTTCTTAAAACTTATTACATTTTCAAAGACTTTACACATACACAACTGAATAGAACTTACATATCTCCGATTTGTTTATATCTACATTTGAGTGAGGTGGATGGGGTGAGGTGGTATTTAATAGGGTATTAATTTCATCAACACAAGACAGAACACGAAACAATGGGTATTGAAATGGAAGTGATTGTAAAAAGCCTATTGGTCCATATTTCTTGATGCTTCTATATTGGAGCGGAGTCTTGAGGTGGGTAGAATATAGTTGTGCATTAATTGGCTGTTGATTGCTGGTGTTGACTTCTTAATGTGCAGTGCCTCGCAAACGTCAAGCCGTCTGCTATCGCTGTATCTATCGATGATTTCTGTGTTGTTTACTAGGATTTCTCTGGCGATGGTTTGGTTGTGGGAAGAGATTATATGTTCCTTAATGGAGCCCTGTTGCTTATGCATCGTTCAACGCCTAGAAAGAGATGTTGTTGTCTTGCCTATATACTGGGTTTTTTGGAGCTTACAGTCCCCAAGTGGGCATTTGAAGGCATAGATGACGTTGGTCTCTTTTAAAGCGTTCTGCTTTGTGTCTGGAGAGTTTCTCATGAGTAGGCTGGCCGTTTTTCTGGTTTTATAGTAAATCGTCAGTTGTATCCTCTGATTTTTGTCTGTAGGGATAACGTTTCTATTAACAATATCTTTCAGGACCCTTTCCTCCGTTTTATGAGCTGTGGAAAAGAAGTTCCTGTAAAATAGTCTAATAGGGGGTATAGGTGTTGCGTTAGTTGTCTCTTCAGAGGTTGCATGGCGTTTCACTTTCCTTCTTATGATGTCTTCGACGAAACCATTGGAGAAGCCGTTGTTGACTAGGACCTGCCTTACCCTAAAGAGTTCTTCGTCGACTTGCTTCCATTCTGAGCTGTGGTTGAGAGCACGGTCGACATATGCGTTAACAACACTCCTCTTGTACCTGTCTGGGCAGTCGCTGTTGGCATTTAGGCACATTCCTATGTTCGTTTCCTTAGTGTAGACTGCAGTGTGGAAACCTCCGCTCTTTTCCATGAATGTTACATCTAGAAAGGGCAGCTTCCCATCCTCTTCCATCTCGTAAGTGAAACGCAGCACGGAACTCTGCTCAAATGCCTCCTTCAGCTCCTGCAGATGTCTGACATCAGGTACCTGTGTAAAAATGTCGTCAACATACCTGCAGTATATGGCCGGTTTCAAGTTCATGTCGACTAAGACTTTTTGCTCGATGGTACCCATGTAGAAGTTTGCAAACAGGACACCAAGGGGAGAACCCATGGCGACCCCATCTACTTGCTTATACATGTGCCCATCCGGGCTCAAGAAGGGTGCCTCTTTAGTACAAGCTTGGAGTAGTTTCCTCAGAATATTTTCTGTCAAGCAAAGGTCAACAAACTGATCGAAACTGTGAACGCCAAGAAATCCGGACTCCACCTGCCAAAGATCATTGGGGAATATAAACCTGGATATGCGTATGGAAATGTCAAGACACACAAGCCTGGAAACCCACTTCGGCCAATCATTAGCCAGATACCCACACCCACGTACAGACTGGCGAAGCGACTCAACGGCCTGCTGACTCCTTATGTTCCTTGCGCCTTCAGCCTGAAGTCTCCAAAGGAATTTGTTGACTTACTGTGGGGCACACGGGCCACAGGGATAAGAGCCTCGTTGGACGTAGAATCACTGTTTACCAACGTACCTGTGGACGAGACAATCGGGATGATAGCCGACAGAGTGTATCGTGATCCAGCCTGTACTCCTCTTGACATACCAGAAAATATTCTGAGGAAACTACTCCAAGCTTGTACTAAAGAGGCACCCTTCTTGAGCCCGGATGGGCACATGTATAAGCAAGTAGATGGGGTCACCATGGGTTCTCCCCTAGGTGTCCTGTTTGCAAACTTCTACATGGGTACCATCGAGCAAAAAGTCTTAGTCGACATGAACTTGAAACCGGCCATATACTGCAGGTATGTTGACGACATTTTTACACAGGTACCTGATGTCAGACATCTGCAGGAGCTGAAGGAGGCATTTGAACAGAGTTACGTGCTGCGTTTCACTTACGAGATGGAAAAGGATGGGAAGCTGCCCTTTCTAGATGTAACAGTCATGGAAAAGAGCGGAGGTTTCCACACTGCAGTCTACACTAAGGAAACGAACATAGGAATGTGCCTAAATGCCAACAGCGACTGCCCAGACAGGTACAAGAGGAGTGTTGTTAACGCATATGTTGACCGTGCTCTCAGCCACAGCTCAGAATGGAAGCAAGTCGACGAAGAACTCTGTAGGGTAAGGCAGGTCCTAGTCAACAACAGCTTCTCCAATGGTTTCGTCGAAGACATCATAAGAAGGAAAGTGAAACACCATGCAACCTCTGAAGAGACAACTAACGCAACACCTATACCCCCTATTAGACTATTTTACAGGAACTTCTTTTCCACAGCTCATAAAACGGAGGAAAGGGTCCTGAAAGATATTGTTAATAGAAACGTTATCCCTACAGACAAAAATCAGAGGATACAACTGACGATTTACTATAAAACCAGAAAAACGGCCAGCCTACTCATGAGAAACTCTCCAGACACAAAGCAGAACGCTTTAAAAGAGACCAACGTCGTCTATGCCTTCAAATGCCCACTTGGGGACTGTAAGCTCCAAAAAACCCAGTATATAGGCAAGACAACAACATCTCTTTCTAGGCGTTTAACGATGCATAAGCAACAGGGCTCCATTAAGGAACATATAATCTCTTCCCACAACCAAACCATCTCCAGAGAAATACTAGTAAACAACACAGAAATCATCGATAGATACAGCGATAGCAGACGGCTTGACGTTTGCGAGGCACTGCACAATAAGAAGTCAACACCAGCAATCAACAGCCAATTAATGCACAACTATATTCTATCCACCTCAAGACTCCGCTCCAATATAGAAGCATCAAGAAATATGGACCAATAGGCTTTCTACAATCACTTCCATTTCAATACCCATTGTTTCGTGTTCTGTCATGTGTTGATGAAATTAATACCCTATTAAATACCACCTCACCCCATCCACCTCACTCAAATGTAGATATAAACAAATCGGTAAGTTCTATTCAGTTGTGTATGTGTAAAGTCTTTGAAAATGTAATAAGTTTTACGAAATGCGCTCAAGTGTCGCGTCAGACTAGAAATAAAAATGAATTTTGGAGAATTGATTTTTGAATTACCTCCAACAGTGAAAAGAAATGTACGAAAGATTGAGAAAATTCGTGTTAGAATTATTAATCTTACTTTTTCGGTCATATTTAATAATATATATATATATATATATATATATATATATATATATATATATATATATATATATATATATATATATATATATATATATATATATATATATATATATATACTTAGTTATCATATAAGTTTATCCTATATATACATATTCATATATACCATACATATACAATGTGAATTGTGTTTATAATATAAGAATATTGGCTGTTATAGTTACGTGCTAGGTTGTACTGTGTACAGGTTTAGATCCCTGATTTAAACAGAACCAGTGTTCAGTTATAGAACTGAGTTGCTAAATCTTATCCGTGTATTAACAATACAAGCTGATGTGAGAAACTTGTCTGCAGGTGGATTGTGGATCTTCAATCAATTTCTCCATTCATCCTTAGGGATCCCACCTGCCCCTTACAGCCTACAGTCTGTCACTAGGAAAAGAGGAGCTAGGATTTACGACAATAGCTAGGGACTTTAGTTGAATTAATTTTGCATACCGTAATTTTTATTTAGGGAAATTTTTTATTTACGTCTCTCTAAAAATTTAGGGAGATGGATCGAGGCCATCAAGAAAAGCAAAACGGCCTTGATCCACCTCCCGCCCTACTACTGATGTGATCCATATCAGCTCTTCCTGACAGGTTTACTCTGACCTGAACCACACCGACACTATGGATGAAGAACTTTTCCGCCTCCACGCTGGTCTCCATCTGGTCACCCTGCACCAGGTCACAGGTCGGGTCATGGCCGCACACTCCTACATGACCTGGCAAGTCAGTCTTGATAAATATTTCCTCAAAGCTTTGGCAGACATCCAGGAAGGCCGCCTCTTGGTCATCATGGGCGCAGTAAGTGTTAAGATTATGTACATCTAAACAAAGGCTTTCATGTTTAAGCTAAATATATTATAAAATACTTGTAAATGACGTTTAATATTTTAGAATAATCGACTTCAGAAAATAGTTTGAAGAATAACTAAAAATAATATACATTGCAGCCAGAATTCACGACATTCTTGAAGACGACGACAATACGGGTGCTGGAGGAGATGGGCGCCCTCTACATCGACAGGTTGGCCTACAAGGACGCGTGGTGCCTGCTGGTGCACAAGGGCGGCGGGGTGCTGCTCGAGGCCCTCACCACCTCTCTCCCAAAACATAACATAACTCTCTCCCAAAACATGACTGAGCTGGACGTCTCGCCGCTCAGTCTTCACGTCTCAGTTCCTCGCATGCAAGGTGAGTGCTGAAGCTGCTGCCACGCTTCTGTACGTGGGTATTCCTGGGACAGTGTGAGACGCACGAAGAGTGCTCGAACACGGTATTATGTTCAGGGAAGAGCGCTGAGACTGACATCATTTAGTGGTGGAACTGATGTCACTCGGTTCTAGGACTGGCAACATTCAGTGTTGCTTTCATGGTCTTATTCAGAAATGAATTCATTATGATCTCATTAAGGGTAGATGGTAAAGGGCTATTTTTTTCTGGTCAGTCTCAGCAAGGACTTACTACACACCCTTGGTCCTATGAGGCGATTCAGACCTCACCCGGCTTATCAGGCCTTCTCTGAGGTTTATATTATCTTCCAGTCACTCACAAAATGTCACATAAAGTAGGAGACTTGAGCAAATAAATGTACAATCGAGTCCCTAATTACTGCTCGGTGTATATAAACGAGGAAAGTGATGGAACGGTATATTTATTTGACCCTCTCTGTAAGAAAATGGTCTCTCAAGATTCTCCCACAGCTGACTTGAATGGCTCATTGCAGTGCACAGTGCACTGATCTTCGTGCACAAACCCTATCTCTGTTAACCCTGGATAATAAACTGGCATGTTGGGTATCTACAGAATGCCCACTTAACCAGGAACACGGTTATAATACGGAGGCCGCCGTATGTCCAGGCAGGAAGTAGATACAGGAAGTTTATCATACTTGCCACAAAGGGTCAGTGAGTACATTGGCTGGTGCGAAACGTGAGAGAGGGTGGGAAGACGCCAGCTCAGGCGACAGAGTCTGACCCTGAGGTCAGCTTGAACCGGCGCAATGAAGAATAACAGCTGTGACGTGGTCGTGAGGTGTTCATGACGTCACCTCTGGTACTGATCAGGGAACGACCAATATGATTGGTTCCCGCTCATTTGCTGCAATGCTATTGGTCAAATTGTAACTCTTTGTGTGTGCCCCACGAGATGCCCTGAGCCTCAGGCAAGAGCATTCACATGAGGAAGCCCTTGCACAGAGGACGTGTCCTGTTCTGTCTATTGGCCAATAGACTGAACACCGTCCATTCCTCACAGTCAAGTTAAACTCAGCGTCTTTTCGATATACCAACACTCGCCCTGAATTGCAACTGTGACTATATTGTTCAGAAGCCTATAGTGACAAAATCACCAGAGCGAAACAGACTGGTATCAAGTAACCCCTGGTGACAAGTAGAGATCGTCTGTGAGTGGCCTAGAGTGAACTAAGGCAGTGCCGCCGCCTAAGTAACCTGTGTGTGACTTTTACCACAGTGTACCACATGGTACCATACAGCCGCCACTCTGTCCCGAGCGTGTAGCCTCGAGCCGCTCTCACTGTACCATGTGACGTCACCACCCTTACTCACCGCCAGTGCCAGAGTGTGTGTGTGTGTCGGTTATACATACAGCACACCCTCCTGCGAGTACCCCCGTGTCAAGTACAGTTTGTGGGAAACCCTGTCCTTCATGGTCTCACGTCAGAACAAGCGCCCAGCTGTTAGGCCACCTACGAGTTCTTGCATAAATGTGTCCGAGTGAGTAAGAGAGGTACCCTATCTGTAAGTACAAGATCTTGTCATTGTTTTATTGTGTCTGTCTGTGTTGATCTGAGGGATCAACCACAGTTCTCACCTACTCATACCTGACACAGGTTATAGGTGAAGGCACCCGACGGTGTATGCGTGTTTATCTGTGTGGTATCACAGCATTACACTCGTCTGTGAATGTGAGCTTCACATACACCACACATTTAGTATTGTGTGATATTATTATTGTGCATGTTATTGCCTGTCCCATTGACAGTGCCATTGTGTTTATTGCATACCATCATTACCCGATTATCTGGTTGGAACTCTTGTGATCCCTTTGCATACCGGCAGTTAGGTTCCCGTGTTAAAGATTGGCTGTCAACTGTGTTAAGTTAGGTGTTTCGCCACAAGTGGATCCGAATCGTTTAGCCCGACGTCAAGAGTCTCGCTAATACAAAAATAGCCTTTCTGACGCCAATCTAAAGTAAATCAAGCACCTTTTGTATTAGTGGTTAAGTTAGTAAATAAACTACTGTTAAGGTTTATGCGGTGTTTCCGAGGACCACTTCTGAATACTGCCAACAAATTACTCAAACCTTCAGCTCTAAGTGTCTTCAACACCGAGTTGCCTATATTCACTTAACTATAAATGTGATGAGGACCCTAGGAGTCCCTTAAAATGTTAAATCATTGAGGAGATTCCAACGATCAACGTGGACCAGGACCAGGTGAGGCTAGTCTGAGAAGAGACCCTCAAGGACTCTAACTCGACCTTGCTCCCAGGCCCTGTACGATTGCTCTCATATTTTCTCTGCTAATTCCGACAGCTTCGTGAAGCGTCTGCCACATGTACATTGGCGACATACGCATTGCAGTCGGGAAAGCAAAAAAGAAAACCCCACACTCTCCATGATTTAAACCCAGATCATCACACTTAGGATGCAGGTGTCCTACCAACTTCATCACAGATGTACCATTTTTTCCTTCCAGAAAGGGTGTGTGGATGGCATAGAGTAACAGGGATGCAGGAGAGGGCCGCCTTCTGTGAAACTTTTGAAGGTTATGGTGACTTCTGCAGTTGTGACGACCCACCCTGGTCGCCCCTCCCAAAAATTCCGGTAAGACATATATTTATGTTAAATGGCAAGTGACAATTAGATTGTATAACAACTTAACAGGTATAATTTGTCTGAAAAGTTATGTAAACGATTGAGATAGCTAACATGCGAGACGGATAGATCACTTAATGAGAATAGATAGCTTACATTAATGTGAAAACAACACTTGTGTCAAACTATTGGCCAATTTGCTTAACATAGATTCTCGTAAATTGTTTCAACTGATAATCACAATAATTTTTCTACACATCTTAAAAAAAACATATATTAATGAAGAATTCACAAGATGTCTATAATAAGGTCTGCTTTGTTCTCATTCATTTCTGGCATATTTGGGGCCGTTGATTGTGAAAAGAATTGTGACATTATGTACCTTGACCATAGCAAAGCTTTCGATACTGTCACCCACAAAAAAAAAGGGAAAATTCAGGCAGAAATGGAATTGGGGGTGTTCCTAAGTTGGATAAGGGCATGATAATTTCAAAGGAATTAAGAGTTGTTTCTATTGCCTGGAAGGTAGCAAATATGTAAAACGATTAATAAAACTCCTACAGTGAATTAAGGAAAAATAAGCTTGACATGAATCGAGAGAAAAGTTCATGGGAGAAATAATTTCAGATTTTACAAGAAATCACCTGGAAAATTACAGATTGATAAGAGACTCCCAACATAGGAGTTTCTTCTGCCTTGCAAACTACTATATTATTATTCATATATATTCAAAGCCATTGTCAACAATAGTAAACATAACACTGTATATCTGGATGTTATCAAGGACTTCGATGCAGTTCCGCATGAATGGCTTGGCATCTGAGAAAACATAATTGAACTGGATCAGGACAGAACTAAAAGACAGACAACAGACGTCAACATAAATGGAGTAAAGTCAGAGTAGATGAATGTCACAAGTGGTGTACTACAGGGCTCTGTTATGCGCCCCACTGTTTTTATAATTTACATCAGTGACCTTGACACTGAAGTGACAGTAATATCAGCAAGTTTGCTTACGACACGATGACAGAGCGTGTATGAATACAAAATAAGACCAATAAGTTTAAGAGACTTAAACAAATTTTAAGTGTGTCGGGCAGAAATATGCCGAACACAGTTTAATGCTGATAATGCAAATTCTTTAACCTAGGAAAAGACAGTGTTGCCATAAACGAAATCAAAACTACAGTTGGGTTTGTTCTCGACTCAATCGATATTTCCGGGTTCGAATCCTGGGCTTAACAGAAATGGCGTTTCCCATAACCTAACGCGCCTGTTCATCAAGCAGTAAATAAGTATCCAGGAGTTAGTCAGCTTGTTGTGGAGTTGCATCCTGGGGAGGGTCAGTAATTCGACCCTGGGGAGGGAAGGGATAATGACATAAGCCTAACATGTATATGTATACTGGCTGTCTGTTCCACGACACAACGAATTATGAATTTAATTGAAACAACAATGACCTGAGGCCAAGACAATAGCAACAGAAGCATAAATATAATTCTTCAGGTTTTATCGCACACTGCTGAGGTCCCACTTGAACTATGCAGTGTAATTATGGTTGCTATACTAAAGAATAAACTAGAGAAAATTCAGAGAAGGCAGATGACTGGACATGTGAGCAGCTGACTTAGGTGGCTGGGTCCCTCTTAAAGAATAAATTAGTCAACTGAATTATATTTTATTTATTTTATCTTGCTATAACGTAAAACATTAAACACTGACATCTGGGAGGTGTCCATTCCCCTGACTCTGAGGTGACCCAGTGTTTATGATGTTGTGCATGCATATTATAGGCAAACGTGTGATAGTTAGATTTTTTAAATTTTGCATATATATAATTCAGATGACTAAATATGGCATTGTAAGATTCACCGTGAGGGTCACTTTAGCGCCATGTCATAAATACATATATATATATATATATATATATATATATATATATATATATATATATATATATATATATATATATATATATATATATATATATATTAGTATATTTTGGTAGCAGTCTTTCCTGTAGACATATTTTATTAAATATGACCGAAAAAGTAAGATTAATAATTCTAACACGAATTTTCTCAATCTTTCGTACATTATGCTTCACTGTTGGAGGTAAATCAAAAATCACTTCTCCAAAATTCATTTTTATTTCTAGTCTGACGCGACACGGGCGCGTTTCGTAAAACTTATTACATTTTCAAAGACTTCACAAATACACAACTGATTAGAACTTGCGTTTCCCTGATTTTATATCTACATTTGAGTGAGGTGGGAAGGGTGATGTGGCATTACATTTGAGTGAGGTGGGAAGGATGATGTGGCATTAGAGGATATTAATAGGGTATTAAAAGTATCAACACAAGACAGAACACGAAACAATGGATATTGAATAGAAGTGTTTGTAGAAAGCCTATTGGTCCATATTTCTTGATGCTTCTATATTGGAGCGGAGTCTTGAGGTGGGTAGAATATAGTTGTGCAATAATTGGCTGTTGATTGCTGGTGTTGACTTCTTGATGTGTAGTGCCTCGCAAACGTCAAGCCGCCTGCTATCGCTGTATCTATCGATGATTTCTGTGTTGTTTACTAGGATTTCTCTGGCGATGGTTTGGTTATGGGAAGAGATTATATGTTCCTTAATGGAGCCCTGTTGTTTATGCATCGTTAAACGCCTAGAAAGAGATGTTGTTGTCTTGCCTATATACTGGGTTTTTTGGAGCTTACAGTCCCCAAGTGGGCATTTGAAGGCATAGACGACGTTAGTCTCTTTTAAAGCGTTCTGTTTCGTGTCTGGAGAGTTTCTCATGAGTAGGCTGGCCGTTTTTCTGGTTTTATAGTAAATCGTCAGTTGTATCCTCTGATTTTTGTCTGTAGGGATAACGTTTCTATTAACAATATCTTTCAGGACCCTTTCCTCTGTTTTATGAGCTGTGGAAAAGAAGTTCCTGTAAAATAGTCTAATAGGGGGTATAGGTGTTGTGTTAGTTGTCTCTTCGGAGGTTGCATGGCTTTTCACTTTCCTTCTTATGATGTCTTCGATGAAACCATTGGAGAAGCCGTTATTGACTAGAACCTGCCTTACCCTACAGAGTTCTTCGTCGACTTGCTTCCATTCTGAGCTGTGGCTGAGAGCACGGTCGACGTATGCGTTAACAACACTCCTCTTGTACCTGTCAGGGCAGTCGCTGTTGGCATTTAGGCACATTCCTATGTTTGTTTCCTTTGTGTAGACTGCAGTGTGGAAACCTCCGCCCTTTTCCATGACTGTTACATCTAGAAAAGGCAGCTTCCCATCCTTTTCCGTCTCGTAAGTGAAACGCAGCACGGAACTCTGCTCAAATGCCTCCTTCAGCTCCTGCAGATGTCTGACATCAGGTACCTGTGTAAAAATGTCGTCAACATACCTGCAGTATATGGCCGGTTTCAAGTTCATGTCGACTAAGACTTTTTGCTCGATGGTACCCATGTAGAAGTTTGCAAACAGGACACCTAGGGGAGAACCCATAGCGACCCCATCTACTTGCTTATACATGTGCCCATCCGGGCTCAAGAAGGGTGCCTCTTTAGTACAAGCTTGGAGTAGTTTCCTCAGAATACTTTCTGGCATGTCAAGAGGAGTACAGGCTGGATCACGATACACTCTGTCGGCTATCATTCCGATTGTCTCGTCCACAGGTACGTTGGTAAACAGCGATTCTACGTCCAACGAGGCTCTTATCCCTGTGGCCCGTGCGCCCCGCAGTAAGTCCACAAATTCCTTTGGAGACTTCAGGCTGAAGTCTCCTGAACCTTGCAGGAATTAACCTCACTGAGGACCAAGTCACTCTCCTAAATCTGGGCATAAACTGTCATGTTATGTCCAGACCGAGTGAAATGGCCCGGAAAGTGGAGTTGGAAATTCTGTTGGACGACATATTCGACCTCGAGACACAAAAGAAGGTCACTACCAAAGATACCTTACAAGCAGAACTTATTGCAGAAGGAGGAAAGAATCGAGGCAACTACAGAAGCACCATACTGTCCCCCGAGCTTAGAGCGGCAGCTAAAAGCCTTCGTGAGAACAAGGAGATAGTTGTCAGGAGAGGTGACAAGTCGCCAATATATGTCATTCTTAAAAAAGACGAATATCTGGCGAAAATGAACATCATACTCTCTGACCAAACTAAGTTCCAAAGGGTAACGAAGGACACTACAGCCGAATTAAAAGCAAAGGTCAACAAACTGATCGAAACTGTGAACGCCAAGAAATCCGGACTCCACCTGCCAAAGATCATTGGGGAATATAAACCTGGATATGCGTATGGAAATGTCAAGACGCACAAGCCTGGAAACCCACTTCGGCCAATCATTAGCCAGATACCCACACCCACGTACAGATTGGCGAAGCGACTCAACGGCCTGCTGACTCCTTATGTTCCTTGCGCCTTCAGCCTGAAGTCTCCAAAGGAATTTGTGGACTTACTGCGGGGCGCACGGGCCACAGGGATAAGAGCCTCGTTGGACGTAGAATCGCTGTTTACCAACGTACCTGTGGACGAGACAATCGGAATGATAGCCGACAGAGTGTATCGTGATCCAGCCTGTACTCCTCTTGACATGCCAGAAAGTATTCTGAGGAAACTACTCCAAGCTTGTACTAAAGAGGCACCCTTCTTGAGCCCGGATGGGCACATGTATAAGCAAGTAGATGGGGTCGCTATGGGTTCTCCCCTAGGTGTCCTGTTTGCAAACTTCTACATGGGTACCATCGAGCAAAAAGTCTTAGTCGACATGAACTTGAAACCGGCCATATACTGCAGGTATGTTGACGACATTTTTACACAGGTACCTGATGTCAGACATCTGCAGGAGCTGAAGGAGGCATTTGAGCAGAGTTCCGTGCTGCGTTTCACTTACGAGACGGAAAAGGATGGGAAGCTGCCTTTTCTAGATGTAACAGTCATGGAAAAGGGCGGAGGTTTCCACACTGCAGTCTACACAAAGGAAACAAACATAGGAATGTGCCT